GTTCGTATGTACTGGACTGTTAGTTGAGAGGGTTGATATGGGGTTTGGGGAATACGGACATGCAGCTTCGTTTTTGATACCCCTGAAAAATAAGCAACCAGAGGTCCATCTGACCCATTCACAATTGTTTGTCTTGACTCCCCCATGCCAGGTTAGTCTCTATGCTGATGCTGATGCTGATGTGACCTAGCCGAATCAATGTCTTTATATCCCATATGGCGTCTTCGACTTTCGTTGATATTTTCTCCAAGATCATGGCCAGCAGTTGCGCCCAAAATAATCAAACGGGCATCCTCTACAAGGGAATACAGTATGAATCTTGGGGCCTGGTAACTAGTCTGTCTCAAGCAGATCCTGACTTTTCCTAGAAGACAATTCTGACCATTATTACCGCTATACTGCTGGACGCTGGCTGTTCAATGAGTCTCAGCAGCTTGAAGCTCGCTATGTGCGGTTCAATATAGATGCATTGGCTGCAATCGCTGCAAGATGCTTAGGCCATGACCCTGCATCATGTGTCAAAATTGAGAAGATGCCTGAAGGAAACTTCAATAAGAGTCTTCTACTTACTATGGCCAATGGCTCTCAAGTCATCGCCAGGGTTCCCAATCCCAATTCCGGTATTCCACACTTCACAACTGCCAGCGAGGTCGCTACAATGGACTTCGTATGTGCTGTCACTGTTACCGCTTTGCTTTGGCAGGCCCGTTATTCTGATTATTTTTTTAGGCTAGGACTGAGCTTGGTCTACCAGTTCCCAGGGTGCTTGCGTGGAATTCAGATGCATCATCGGAGAACCCGGTTGGAGCAGAGTATATTGTCATGGAGAAAGCAGCAGGTTCTTCCCTTGCGCAGATCTGGCCACGTTTGAGCAATGAAGAAAAGAGGGAAATTGTTCAGGCTATGGTTAGCTTTGATGTTAAAATGCTAAATCATCCCCTTAGTGCCATTGGCTCTTTGTATTATCCAAGGGATATCCCAAGCGGGACCAACCAACTACCAGCTCTAGGATTGAATGATGCTTGTGGTCGTTGGGTCCTTGGACCTACCACTGACAGACGTTTCTTTGACGATGGAAGAGGAGAGCTATCTCTGGACCGGGGCCCTTGTAAGTTTTGCATTCTTTCTTACTCGCACTCCCATTTGAATCTAACGGAGATATCTTAGGGAATACTGTAAAAGAGTACCTAGCTGCAATCTGTGAGCGTGAAATGAAGGCCATTCAAAATCTGAACCGCCCTCTTCGATCGGAAGGAATTGTTGGTCCTGGAGGTTATCAACCTAGTCGAGCTCTTAAGCTCTCAGTGTGCCGCGACTTTCTAAAGGTGGTAAATCATATCCTCCCACCTGGAGCCTGTGAGACACCTGTTCTATGGCACAAGGACCTACATCTAGACAATATTTTTGTCAATCCTGAGAAACCTACAGAGATTGTTGGGCTCATTGACTGGCAGAATGTCCATGTTTCGCCTCTATTCGACCAGGTCACGCACCCTGCATTCTTGGACTACAAGGGACCAAAACTCGAAGGTCTCAAGACACCATGTCTCCCAGAGAACTTTGAAGAGCTCGACGAGATTTCAAAGAAACATGCAAAGGAATTACTTGTTGCACAGACCCTGTACAAGTACTATGATCTTTACTCAGCTTCTATGAACGTACCGGTTTACCACGCACTGAGATATCAGGAAACACTGCAGGGAGAGATCATTCCTCTCATTGGCATGATCTTAAATGATGGAGAACCAGCCCTGCAAGGACTCCTCATGAACCTCGCCAGAAAATGGGATCAACTCATCCGCAGCAAGGGAGGCCCTCCATGTCCTCTACAGTACTCAGCTGAAGCCATTGATCGACAGCAGGAATTGGAGGCGAAGTGGGCAGAAGGCATAGCGCTGATGGACGATGTGCTAGAGTCACTGGGGGGAGCTATTCGTGGATGGGATGGCTGGGTGAGCCATGAAGATTATGAGGCACTCCAGCAAAAACTTGAACTTGTTCGAAAGCAGTTCATTGAACACCTTGCTGGGGACGATAAAGAAGCTGCTAAGGCTTGGGCACGGGCTTGGCCATTCCAATGAGGTGCTGCGTAAAGTACTGCTATTAATTGTACTAAACATTCATGTTTTCACCAGAATCCAACACGGTATGGAAATCCTATGGTTTGCAATGTTTTGTCAAAGCTCGCAAGATATAACGTTTAGAGTTTTATAGCGTGTTTTTTTTTAAAAAAAAACATCCACGTGACATGTTTGCCCTATGATTATGTAATCTCAGGAACAGCGTGACGTGATTCGACTTCGACTTCGACCTCAACTCGACTTCAACTTCACTTCATCGTTATACAACGGCTGGCTCTTTATATAGAGCTATATTTCTAGCTTATCACTTGGAAATGCACACGGAGTATGCGATGGTTGAGGAATATTACACTTTCGAGATGGGTTGCAACCCCTAGCCACACGGCACCGAAGGCCCAAGAGTGTATACGGGACTGAACTGTGAATGTATTAAGTACAAATAAGGGGACGGGCCGCCAAAGGATCCTGACAGATGCTCCTAGTTTGCCCATCCCCGACACATTTCCACAGCCTTTTCCCAGCGGGAGAACCGTTTGTCGGCCTCTTCCCTTTCAATGCTAGGATTAAAGGTGGTTTGGCCGTCTATGTTGACATTTTGGAGCTCCTCCAGGTTGCTCCATACCCCAGCAGCAATACCTGCTGCAATTGCAGCACCAAGGGCCGTGGTCTCTCGCATCTTGGGGCGGTTGACAGGGATGGAGATCAAATCTGCTTGTGTCTGTTGACCTGTCAGCACCAATCTCACAGTCTAGCGAAGGCTTTGTCCAGATATAGAAATTGGCACGTACCTGCATTGTCAAATCGCTGGCACACATTCCTCCGTCAACAGCTAGCTCAGTGAGCTTATGTCCGCTGTCTTTCTCCATGGCATCGAGGATCGCCTTGGTCTGGAAACATGTCGCCTCAAGAGTTGCTCTGGCTACATGGCCTCGTTGAGTGAATGTTGTTATCCCAAATATCGTGCCTCTCGCATCATCGATCCAATATGGAGCAAACAATCCACTAAATGCTGTGACAAACACACATCCACCGCTGTCTGGTACTGTCTCTGCCAAGGTTGTCAAATCCTTCGAGCTGTCCATGAACTTGAAATTGTTCACCAAAAATTTGACACTGGACCCGCCAACAGCAATGCTTCCTTCGAGTGCATAGGTGAGCTTTCCACCTTCACCTCCTCGGAAGTCAAAGGCTACAGTTGTTAGCAATCCATGCTTTGATACTACCGGTTTCTCGCCAATATTATACAGAAGGAAGCAGCCAGTCCCATATGTGTTCTTGGCCTTTCCAGGTGTGAATCCCTTTTGACCCACGAGCGCAGCAGATTGGTCTCCTAAGCAGCCAGTTATGGGGAAGCCCTTGAGGGCAGAGATCGCCAATTTTCCATAAGCCTTTGGGTCTGCTGAGTGTACAATCTTAGGCAGATGGATCTTGGAAGTGTCAAGGCGGAAGAAGTCAATCAACCTCTCATCATATTCCACCTTCTCAAGGTTCATAAACATGGTTCGCGATGCGTTTGATGGATCCGTTACAAAGACGCCTCCCTCCGGACCACCGTTTAGCTTGTAAATGAGCCAAGTGTCGATGGTGCCGAACGCAAGTCTTCCCTCATCATATGCCTCCTTGACTTTAGGAACGTTATCGATCAGCCATAACACTTTACCGACGGATGGATAGGTGGACAGTGGTAAACCGCAGATCGGTTGCAGCTCTTGGTGGCCCAGGCGGTTTTTTAGTCCGCGCACAAGACCCTGTGTGCGGGTATCCGTCCAAACTATAGCATTATACAGCGGCTCGCCCGTCTCCTTATCCCATACTACCGTGGTCTCCCGCTGGTTAGTGATCCCAATCGCTTTGATAGAATCGATTTTGTGTCCCTGGGTTTCGAAATCGGCGACGGCGCCATCTATGCAAGCAACAACGGATTCGACGATCTCGTTTGGGTCATGCTCATGCCATCTACAACATATGAGGTTAGCGCGTTTCCGAACAACAGAACGAGAAAGAAATTTGCTACACTTTACCCTGGTTGAGGATATATCTGACTGAACTCCAACTGATGTGAAACAACCACCTCTCCGTCTGTGTTAAAAATAAGAAATCTCGAACTTGTTGTGCCCTGATCAATCGATCCGACGAACGACTTTCCATGTACAGCCATTGAACCGGACTATTTCATGTCAAGCACCTGGGCAGTTGCAGTAAGAGCGGCGAAAAAGGGTACAAAAAACTAATGAGGGGATAAATATCCATGTGGGACATGACAGGTGCCTCTTATCTGTCAAATAGACTCCTGGGCCCCCGGACTTGGGGTAACCTAGGACATTCCATACATCGCTTACAAGTAAGTTTAGTAGGATGCATCTCGGCGCAGACTTCTGCTGGTGATACCGCGGGTTGGCGGGCGAAGCTAAGTATATGTTAAAATGTCTCGGCCGCGACGGGGATTCCCGATGAACCATCAACCAAAGCTCGCATTTGCTCCGTTCCAGCGCAGCTTGACTTTATCTCTGTTACGCAGCGATGTTTTTGATATATCCATGGAAATGACACCCGTCCCATAATCGATTTACCCCAGGATCTGGATGTTTATCAACATGGAGAAAATGCGGAGGTGTTCACGACAACTCCCGTTGTTCACCAACGAGTGGCGTGATCGACGCCTTAGTGACAGGGGCCCCCCTGCCTAGTGCAATCTTTAATTTGCGTAGTCCAGACAGGACATCACGCATGGCATCAGTTTTGGCACTGAATCAATTGGATTTAGCCTTCATGCAGTACAGACTCTGATGGTGCGACTCTGTGCTCCGTGACTTCGAAGGAGGATTCGCCAGCTCTATACTAGAATTTTATGCTTTTGGTCGGTTCCGGCCGACCCTTGCGCTTCACCATTGGAAGCAACCCTACGATGGATGGAGGACGGAGAGCAGGTTCATGACCGGACCAAAGGACGATGCAGCTGGCTAAATTTGTGCCACTGTTTATTGAAACGGAAGTTGACCACGGCATGGCAAAGCATGGCATTGCTCGGGGGATACAAATCCTTAACGGCCATGCCGACAGTATGCCAGGATCCTTCTTTCTGCATTTTTCTTCATCCCTCTGTATAAGATCGTCGATCTGCCCGTGGGGAAAATCTGCAGAATCTTGTGCAGCTGTCACCCTTCTCTCCCGTGGATCATCTACTCTTTCTAGCGGAGCCTTCCTCCCCTAGTTCTTTTCTATCTCTTTCTGTGGTTCTTCTATCCGTCAGCTTGTCTGCTTTCCATACATGGACATTCCGGCAGTGAGTGAGGGTTGGACAATTAAGCCTGTGAAAACCGGGATATCTTCCTCCCATACCTTGCATACCGAGAATATTGGGACCATTTCTCAAGGAACCACCGAAAAGGAACTTAGTAGCCCTTCCTTGGATGGAGTTCATTCTAATATCCACGGGTTTTCCGAGCCGTTGAAGGCCCAATTCACTCCACGTGTTGTTATTGAGCATGAACCCCAGCCCGTCAAGGAATTACTATGGACCAAAGTACGGACCAAATTCCGCGAACCCTTCGCTGAATTTTTCGGGGTATTAATTATGATTCTCTTTGGTGACGGTGTTGTTGCGCAAGTGGTTCTAAGTGATTCAAAGAAAGGAGACTACCAATCGATATCGTGGGGTTGGGGGTGAGTTGAAGCTTTTTTACTTATAGACAAAGGACACATTAAACACATACCAGGAACCGTCTCGCAGAACTTATCTGTTGATTCTGACAATATGTTTCAATAGCCTCGGAGTTATGTTAGGCGTTTACTGCTCCGGAGGAATCTCTGGAGGTCATCTCAACCCTGCAGTAACATTCGCAAACTGCGTCTTCCGGAAGTTTCCTTGGAGGAAGTTCCCTATCTACACGTTGGCCCAGTTCCTTGGAGCATTTTGTGCTGCCGGTGTCGTTTACGCAAACTACAAATCCGCCATTACGACCTTCGAAGGCGGGCCCGACATCCGAACTGTGGGGTTGGACACATCAACTGCCGGCATATTTTGTACTTACCCGGCCCCATTTCTGACTAAAACAGGACAGTTCTTTTCGGAATTCATTGCCAGCACGATTCTGATGTTTTGTATCTACGCCATGGCTGATGATAAGAATTTAGGAGCAGGAAATTTAATGCCCCTTGGACTGTTCTTCCTCATATTTGGTATTGGTGCTTGCTTCGGGTGGGAAACTGGGTACGCGATCAATCTTGCTCGTGATTTTGGGCCACGGCTGATGTCCTATTTCCTGGGATATGGACATGAAGTATGGTCTGCTGGAGGGTATTATTTTTGGGTGAGTTACTTCTAATCCTAACCAGCTCCACCCCCTTTTATGCTTGAATCCACTATTGACTCAAATTAAGGTACCTATGGTCGCTCCGTTCTTTGGTTGTTTATTCGGTGGCTTCCTGTATGATGTCTTCCTATACACTGGCGAGAGCCCCATCAATACTCCGTGGATGGGTCTGGATCGCTTTATCAGGCCTAATCAGGATGTGTGGTCAAATACCAAATCCATAGATGGAAGAGTGTGACACAACCTGGAAAGATGCAAATACATGTAATCAGGATTTATTATCTTCTCCACTATGGCGGTTAACTAACGATATTAGCAAAAGAATTGACACACAAAAAGCATTGTGATTTCATGACATTTCGTCTCTCAGTACAGAAACTTACAGGTGCCAAAACAATGTTCCAAGTGCAGGTATCTGTGGCTCACCTATACTATCCTCAAGCAGCTTTGGGTCTGTCTTCCTCCTTGTAAATGGCCGATAAGAGGGGTAAATACGTACCCCGGTCGCTTCCCTGGCAATACGACTGCATGAGATATAGATGAGGAGGGTTGCCGAGCCGTGCCATCGTATACTTTATCAAGTTACATGGGAAACGCATGGCCCGAGGTAGATGAAAATGAACAAGCAGAGTACACTCCGAACATGTGCACGTCCATAGAAGAGGTTCAGCCAAAAAAAGGAATGATTGGTGCAAGGCCTAGATTTGTATCCCTATGCATGGAGCGAAGGAACAACGACGGCGTCCACATATTTGGATTTCTCATGGTTATCAACGGGTTGATTGGCCAGAAAACCGAAGTTGAGATTGTGGTAACGTCTAGTTACCAAGCACAAATACGAACCTGTTGGTGATCCTACAATGTAACGTACTATCCAATCTCAAGTATAATTTCAATGCATTTCCACCCAAGAAAAATCAAAATAATAACGGCTTGAGTCCCCGTAATCCCTAAGGTAGAAACTCAGCTGGTTGAGGCTGAGTGTCATGTGATTGGTGGGTCGAAAATGGCCAATTTCAACGTCGATTTCAACTTCAACTCCAACTTCAACTTCACACCTCGAAGATACAGAGAGAAATGCCAAATAGTCCTGGTACTATTGCCTAAACATACCCTTGATATACCCTATTTTTTACGTGGATACTGTTTTCTAGGCTAAGTTGAGCTCGTTCCAACCTAGAAACACACGTTCCTCTTCCAAGTCCAATATACCTTTTGTCAAAGTCCATGGATGAATGAATTTGGGCCAGCCGATATTCACGGTAACTTCCGCTCCCCGGACTTTAGTGGCTCCAGATAATGGTTCAGAATTTCAAAATAATACCCACTATTTCATTTTCTTACTCCTCTCTCCCAGTTATTGTTTATTTTTAAGGAAAATCAACAATACACATCATGCCAACCCTTAAACAGCTAACCTGCCATATCGAATGGGCTAACTGTAGCATACCATTCAAAGAATATGGCGTCACTTATCGAGACGGGTCTGTTGAATGCCTTGTTCCTGTGCAGCCCGCCTCGACACCATTCTCTATCCGGCTCACTTCCAGTGGATACATTGCGCCCGGTTTGGCGATGTTTGTTTATATGGATGGCGTCTACCAATGCAATCGCAACAGGGATGATCTCATTTTAAAAAAGGGGTGTAAAGGTAAGACGAAGGTTAGAGAAGTCAATTTTTGCGTCCGCCAGAAAGAGGAACGCCTGCCGGACGGGAGCTGGATAGGAAGGCCCTGGAGATTTGAGCCGCTCCAAATAGGTAACCATATTTGATCCTCTGGTTCCGGATCATGGATGTAATACTAATATACCCTCTAGTACAACTTATGCCGGGTATGCCCGAAGTCAACAAATCTCATTTCGATAACTTAGGCGAAATATGCGTTGTTGTTCTTCGATGTGAGTCACGAGATGATCAATCATCATTTGAGGGTTCTCTCACTCCAGAATCAGCTATGGCATTTGGGCCAGATTTGGACGGTAAGCTTGCTCTATCGCTATAATCGACATTCGACGATAATTCGGCCGTAAAGCTGACGTTCACAACCTTACTACAGATTTTCAGAGCGTCTCTAGCGAAGAATGCCTACTCAATCCTATCAATACAACCAAAGAAAATGATACAAGTTGTGGGTTTATGGGAGGATTGTTTGACGGGGCAAATGACACTAGGCACTGCGGGAATAATATAAGTTGCTGCAAATCTTGCGATCATGATGAACCTAAGACTCATCGTGAGAGCCGTGGCCACCGTCACGATAATCAATCGTCCATAAACAACAGGGATTCCAGACGACGCCATCCAAATCCTGCGAGGTCACAGCCCCAGTGTCGAGTCCACTGGAAAGATCAGCCTGAACTAGAACAGGAATCAGACTGGGATAATGGATGGGAGTCGTATGATACAGAGTCCACTGCAAGCTCCGACCGTGTCTGCCAAGGATATCGATATTATCGATCAAGTGGCCCTACCAACCCGAGCCCTAGGCAGGAAGCTGAGGAATCTGATAGCCCTCGTTCTTGCATACGTGAACATCGCTCTAAGCCAAGACAATACCTCCCTTACAGGGCAAAACAAGATCAAAGCTCAGGATGGAAGATTCGGAAAGGTTCGGGGAAGCTATCTTCAGAGGAGCCCAAGGGACCCCAGAATCTCTTGTCGGAAGAAATACACAGCGGTACCCGTGGATGTGCTCCTTCCATTGTTCTCAATGTTAACTCAGCCCAGCCGACGCAGGAGATGAACCCAGTAATCAATCATACTTGCCACAAGTGTGCTCACCCCAAGTGTTGCGTGACAGATGATACCACAGATGATGGCTGCTATATAGTTTCTAACAATAAACGAGTTAGAAGACGCTGCCACCATCATAATCGGAGCCGTAATCATTGCACGCACGGAGAGAAAAACCAAGAGTCAAACAGCAATGATAATACCCTATCAACGAATGACGATACTGGTACAGGAAATGATGACGGCGATTTAAATACCTCAAATGAAAATCAGGATAACAATGGTTCATCCTGGGATAATAATAATGATCAAGGTAATTCGAATTGGAATAATGACAACAATGAGACTTCTGCCGGCTGGAATAACCAGGACAGTCAAAATAATACTATGAACGATAGCTGGGATCAAGGGCAAGGGGATCAACAAAATAATAATAATAATACAGATGATTGGGACAAAGGTAATACCAACTTCGATTCTAATGCCCAAGGCCAGCAACAAAGTACTTCCTGGGATAACGGTAATCAATATAATGGCCAAGAGTGGATGGCGCGAGGTGCAACAACGGGTAATGGTGATGCCCCAGCAGCGGGCTGGCTAAACAACAATTCCAACGACAACCATGGACACAATAACGATGGCCAATGGGCCCCTATGGCTAGCCCAAATAATGGATATAACAATCCTCAGCCAGGTCCAGCAAGCCCACTTCCCGTTCCAGTCCAAGCCCAGGGTCCGATATGGGAGTCCCCACCGCCCATCCAAAGAGTTCATACTCTAATTACTCCATTTTGTCAGGGACCAGAGGCCAGTGAGCCTCCATTATATACTGCTCCTGAGCAAGTTGCGCAAGAACGAGCGCTATCTCACCAGGTGCAGGTTGGTAGATCTTCAAGGTACTCTCATAAAATCAAAGTACCACAGTATATTGATACAATGGAGGAGCCTTACGCAAAATTCATCTTCAAATATCGGGTCAAAGGCAAGTACGCTTCTAAAAGGACTCTTTACCCCCGGAATCCGCCTAACATATACTTGATCAGGTGTTGTTGAGTCAGAGATTGGCAAGCCGATTGAACGAGATGTTGAAGCCGAAAGAAAACTTCTCGAATCTCTTCCTCGAGAGGAGATTCTAAAGCAACTCCTCCACGCTCAGGTACGGCATTCCGCACCGCCATATCTACTACAAATATTGACGGGAATTTAGGGATTACTGGCTGCTCAAACTCTTGGGCAAACAATGGTAACACCGGCTCAGGGGCAACCTCAAGTCTCTAGCCCGCAGCAGATCCAGCATCAACACTCCAATTCAAACAACCAGCAATATGTGCCGGCTCAACATCAAAGTCCCCCTGGGAGCAAACATGGTCGCGTTCACCACTCCAATCATGGTTCACAGTCTGGTCCTTCGCATTGGAATAGCGCTCCAGCTCAGGAACAGGTTTTCACCGTCCCGTCAAAGCTCACAGGCTATAATAATAGGGCGATTAATCCTCCTCAGAGTCCCCCGCAGAACAATAACTTGGCAGCTGCCCTCACTACTGGGTTACAGAATGTTCAACAACAGCAGCAGCAGCAGAGTTGGTCCAAGGGCAGTAATGATGCTCCTAGCTGGAATGCCCAGGCTACACAGGATGATTCCGGTGGGAAATGGTGAAAGAAGTACCGGGACTTCTCTATTCTAGGCGGTCCCCTGCTGTGGGTTATTGAGATTCAGGAGCCAAGTATTGGTGGATTGATTGTCTCTACATATTTTAGCGACATATCACTTAGTTCAACATGTCATAGTCGTATTGAATCACTATGCTATTCCCAGCTTTGAAACTATTTAAACAACAGCTCATGCAGGTAACGTAAAATATTCCCATCTTTATGCCCCGCTGCCGTTGTAAAGAAGCTTGTTGGTGGTATTGAATCCAGGGTTCTGGATAGTTGGATTGGCAAGCTCTTTGAGACGGTCACAAACTTTCTCAGGAGCAAGACCTTCAGTAGCCATGATAAGTCCACCAACGCCGCAGACATGAGGAGTTGCCATCGAAGTTCCAGACATGAGTCCGGTGAGATTATGGGGTAAGGTGGAGCGGATGTACTCTCTAGGCGCGAACAGATCGACTGTATGATTAACGTTAGTTCCTGTAGTCTAGAAAAGAATGCAGGACCAAGACATACCGAGTTCTCCGTAGTTGGAAAAGATTGCTTTGGTGTCATTTCTGGTACTTGCACCCACCGTACAGACTTCAGGGGCTGAGCCAGGTGAATAGAACTCGGCGCTCGTAGCTTGGTTACCAGCAGCAACAGCGATAAAAATCCCCGCTTCCTGTGCACGTACTGTAGCCTCGTTCACAGCTCTAGAGCGTCCTGTTTTGAGGCTTATATTCATGACAGACTTGCCAAGGAGGCCGCGTTCTTTGGCATCGTTGATAGCCCAGTTGAGTCCGTTGATGTATCTGGTTATATCACCATAGCCATAGCAGTCAAGAATCTTGATGGAAACGATGGACGCTTTCTTGAGTATACCAAACTTCTGGCCTGCAACAGTGCCTGCAGTATGAGTCCCGTGGCCGTTACAGTCGGTATCTACATGGTCAGCGAGATTGATACCCCAGCGGGCACGGCCAGTGAAGTCAGCTTGATTGATGTCAATACCACTGTCAATCCCGTAGAAGGTAATATTCTCGCCCTCTCCATAGGTAGACACGTAGTCATGGCTGGAGTTCTCCTTGTGAGAGATACGGGAAAGCCCCCAAGTGACATTTCCTTGCTTGATAGTAGAGGCAACTTGCATCTCTTTGTTTGGCTCAACGAACTCGACCTAGCTAATGAGTTAGATGTTGACAGGTTACTTCAGGTTATCATACGATGACTTACGTTCTCGTGGTTGAGGATCTCCTGGACGGTGTCTTCGTCAAAGCTACCGCTATAGGCCTGCCATCCAGCAATGTCCCAGGTGGCACTGAGACCTTCAGTAAAGGGAATAGCACGCTTGGCCAGGTTTCGACGATGAGTTCTCTTCAGCCAGCGGACATGAGAGGAAAATTCAAGAGAAGAGACACGGTCCTTCATGACAACGATGTACGCGCCTGGGATGACGCCTTGGGGGTCGATATCAAGTAGCTGGGCTGCATTAACAACCCATAAGATGGCGAAGTAGATCAACATCATCTTGAAGATAGACATGATGCACAATATTCCTTTCTCCAGGAGCTGTCAGATTTCTTTCTTGTAATAGTTAAAGTGTCAATATCTGGTGTGAAAGATGTTTGTTGACAGAAAGAAGACAGACAAGGGGCAGCAGAGTAGGATATTTATATACAAACAAGAGCCCTCTCGGCGATGACTGCGACGCTCATTTGATATTAATATTGCCTGGCTATCATGCTGAGGATACAGTATTTCACTTTGATGTCCTGCATCCTTGTGGTATATTGGGTATAATCTGCATTAAAGAGAGAGCAATAGGAAGAGCCTCTTCAAAGACTTATAGAAGATAGCAACTAGATATAGCAGATAGGAAATATCTATTTTTGATATCTAGAATTGTATGATGTAGCTTGGGAAAGGCCTTTGTCAATATAAAAAGCCCTAATTCATACCGGTAAAAACACAGGGTAAACGGCAAAAATTATTTTATATAACTGCATGGTACCATCTATGTGACCATTTTTCTAGTTATATTTAGGAGTATAATGTGTAACTAATAGGTATAATATATCTTGAGAAGATGGATATTTGAGATCCTTGATAAGTCCTGTAACTCAATAACTGTTCTTTCGGGTATCCAAAAATACGTCGTCCTCTGCGTAAATATGGGATAGATAGAGGCCATCGCCACCAGTAAGTCATTATCTTTGAAGTGAGGTATAGCAGTTATAGCTGAGTATCTTTGGATATGTTGATAGATGGTGGATTTGTTGGTTGTTGAAAAATCGAAAAATTTGACTCAGAAAAAGCAACTTCTGGTCTTCATGGAATCTCAAGCCTCAAAGACCATCGGCTAACAATAGCAATGTCAGTAGTCAACCAGGCTGAAAGAAGACGGCAAAGACATCGTTTGCTCCTGTAGCTGTCTCTCTCACGGCGTCTTCCTCGGGCTCCCTTGATTTAATCGCGACCCTTTGTCGGCGCATCCTCAACGCCCTCACGACGCCAAAGGCGAATCCCGCAAGTGCTTTATAACACAGCATCATTCCACGAACAGACACGCTTATTCGGTCTTTCGTCTTATCGAAGACTATTATCATAGTCAATATATCCAGAGCACAAGATGTAGTTTATATATCTTGTCGTGCACCGGGCAAAAATGGCCTTTCTTTCTTTTCACTCTCGCCAGCTGTCGCTTCCCCTGAATGTCGAGATTTGGCTCGATACTGCTGGATATATTGAACGGCAGGCTGGATGCTTCGTCAGTGCCAGGCTGCTGTTTTTATTGCTACTTTTATTATTATATACATCTGTTATGCCAAATGTTCATCCAGCCAGCCCTGATACCCGATATACTCAACCTACTCTGCCTATTCTATACAACGGCAACCCCTTAGACTCCCTAGTCTACACCTATTGCGAGCCCATTTGCAATGGCTGTGGAAAGGTTTGCTCATGATTCAACCCCCAGGAGCTGGAAATATTTCATCTAATAATAGTTGCAGAGACACTACGGTTCCATCCAGGATGGAGCCCGGGGCGACCTACGTCCAGAAACTCCCCTCAGGAAAAGTCGGATTCGTTCGTCGTCCAATAAAGATTAAACCGACAAAATCGATACTCGCTGATGCATTTCTCCCTAATCGAGATGGCTCTGCGTGGAGTTTCCCCTATTCCTACAACCTGGATGCGCCTCTGCCTATTGAGACTGGCCCTAAGGAAACACACCAGCCGATAGCCTTGACGGATGGCCCAGCTCAGACGTATAATCACGGGCGAGAGTACCAGAACAAGTTAGCTACGGGAAGATATGATCCGGTACCATCTAATCTGTATCATCGTGATGCAGCTCTTCCTCCACCGGCACCGTCCCCTATACTCGAGCCCCAGAGCCCGACTTACTCTAGGGCACACGCAGCTCCAGCAACAGAGACAAGACACAGATGTGCAGTATGTGGACGCTATCGTTCTCCTTCATATCAGCATCGGCATCCCATTATCCCAGGGCAGATACCTCCTACTAGCGTGTGCCGAAAGTGCAGATTCACCTATACATCTAGCGGAGACAGTACTGAGAGCGATGAATCCGACAGGCGATCTAGAGGCCGAAGACGCAGTCGAAAGAGGCGTAGTAGATCCAGACCTATATTTGACAAGGAACCTTCTGCTCAACCAGCTCCAATTCCTCAGATACTTCAAGCTCCTGCACCTCAGACCAGCCAGCCTCAGGAACCTCCTACTCCTGCTCCTCCACCTCCCCCTCCCCCTCCCCCTCCACAGCCGCAGCCGCAGCCCCTGGCCACAAAGGTAGAGTCGTCTCCTCCTATATTCCACTTTTGTCCGAACCCTCCTGGCCTATGTACGCTACGAAATCATAGAAATTCTCATGATTATGGCCTTCCAACCCCTATCAGCAGTCCTCACTGCTGTACTGAGCCGAGCTACCACCCGCTCCCCGACTATAGAGACACATGCAGCTCTTGTTACTATCAGATGCACAGCAGGCGTCATTACTATCAAGACTGCCACCATGGCCATTGCTGCCACCGAGAACCCAGGCTCTATACCTCCCGAAAGCCCAGGAGCTTCGATGACGTTCAGGTCACTCCGTCTGATGGTCCTAGAAGACCATGCAATCACAGGGAACCATCACCTTTAAGACAAGCCGAGCGTCCTGTTGTCAAAGATGCCAACTCTTGGTCAATGCCGGCAACTGGGAATTGGGATGATAGCAATGAACGGGTAAGAAAACCCAGGCCCCCTACCCCTTCACCTTCACCAGTGCGAGAAAGACGCTACGTTGAGCCACATCAATTATCTTCTTCACTAAGGGGCACACGCCCTCCTCAAGCAAAGATATGTCGATTTGCATCCGACGAACCACAGAATCAGCCCAATGTCCAATATCAAACTTGGGAGGTCGACCGCCCCAAAAGGCAGTACAGCCGTGTTATATCACGAGGCGACGATAATAATAACGAAGAGAGCGGCTGGTATGATACACCGGATTATGAGAGACCAATCTCAACGCGGCCCTCTAGAAATGTCAGCATGCCACGGCGGCCTTCCCGAGTAGAAACAGATAGACCCCCTTCAGGTGAGTAGAAGTGATAAAGAGTTGCTCCGTAGATCCGAATGCTAACTTGTAACTATTTAGAAATCCTGATCGTCCCGAAGCCTCGGCGCCAGTTTGAAGTCAGGTATGGGACATATCAACCAGAACAGCAACGAGACTATGAGTATAGAGAGCCTCGGTCAGAGACCCGTTTTAAGCATTATGAGCCCTCAAATCCCAGGAGAGTGACGACTGTCAACAGACGGAGCTATGCATACCCCGTAGTCCGTGATGAACAGGAAGAAGAGGATACAGGCCAGGGGTATAGTGACCCAAGGTACGAAAAGTGGAATAAAAGTCGTTATGCTAGCCATGAAATCATTGAGGGACCTCGAGGGACATACAACCCTCCAGCCACCCGAGATCCGAGTGGTCAGCAATATAAGGCGCGAGAGAGGTCGGTTGTCTGGTAGACATAACCTCGGTAAATGGCCGTTTAACACTCTTTGGGTGTTGGTTTGCAAGATTGTTGGTTAATGTGGCTTACTACCATAAAACTTCGGTTTGTTGGCTAGTTATGCAAGACAGATAAGCTGGAGAGATGTACCTATCATTATATATGGGCATTAGTTCTATTATAAAAATTAACCTATATACATATTCATAGCTCATTAAATATGTATATATCTTTTATCGCTTCCCGTTTATCCGTCCATCGGCCTACTTGGACAGATCATCAATTCTGCCCAACAAGTACTCCAATATTCTGTAGGAGGCAGAGGGGTTGTACTGGGGGCCCATGTGGCCAGTCAGGTAGAGCTCAACATAAGTAAGTTTTCGCTCGGTGTGGTGGCGGCCCAAAACACCGGCTCCGGAGAGAGTGCTCAAGCTACCACGGTCGTGGTACGGCACGAAAAGAGGCTTGGAGGGCTCCTGGCTGAAACCTTGAGCACCGCCCCAAGTCATGTTCTGGATGCTAAGTAGGGTTCCATTGCTGATAAGGACGTAGTCGAGATCTCCGTGTGCAATGATGGTACGAGGAGACTTCTCGATGACATCAGGGATGATGGTGAAAGATGATGGTTCAGAGTTATCCTTTCCATCAACGAAGACGGGGTGTTCAGAACACTCGGTCCATTTCTGGAGGGGAGCATTGATGGCCTTCTGCACGTCGGTGCGGTTGAAGTAGACATTTGCTCCGGCAGGTAGGTATTCGAAACTTCCTGGGTATCCGAGGACATCATACAAGAGAGGACAGGTAGTGGCTACCTGGTAGACGTCAAAGCAGGGATTGACGAGAGAGACGGCGTCAAAGATGGCGGTCCAGACGTCGCACTCGGGAGTAGCCTTGGGGAGGGCAGGGAGTTTACCCTTTGGAGGATAGACGAGATGCTCCTTCATGTAATTGCTGTAACCGCACTTGTCGGCCATGTCGTGAATTTGCTTGGTGAAGGTCTCGTTGAATGGGAAGAGACCCTTCCAGTGATCAACGAATGGGACAGCGGGGACTAAGAGAGTGTGAGTAATGATGAAATGAGCATGATGTAAAGACAAGGGTGGCTGGCTTACCCTGAGTGAGAATCTCGTCCTTGTTGATGGATGGGTCGAAGATCATGGTGCTCTCGACGTTGAAATACCTCTTGTTCTTCTTCTCAAACATGGCGTGTGCGATGTATGGGACGTACAGTCCGGCATAACTTTCACCAACGATGTAGATCTTCTTGCCGTGCAGGTCAAAAGTATCTACAAAGTTTCTGAAGAATCCCAAGAATTGTGTAGCAACATCTTCTTCAGATCGCACAGATGGCTTTCCTTGAGAGAAGCCGGTACCAACAGGTCTGGATGGGTTATCATCAGTTGAGGTGTGTCTACATGATTTCATGGGTTTTTATTGACTTACTGCTCAACCCAAACCATGTTGGTTAGCTTGGTCCATGACCATGGGTTAGGAACCGGGTAAAGGGTTCCGTATTGCCAGAGGAAAGGACCATTCTCTTGGAGGAGGCCTTCCAGGGAACTGCAGCCTGGGCCTCCATTGAGCCAGATGGTGATTTCATCCTTTGCAGCAGGGTTCTCAGATGGGAAGTACCAGAAGTAAAGTTCACGGCTCTCGTCTTTCCTTGTCGAAATGGGCATGAGACCAGCATATGATTCACCAATGTCGAACTGGACCTCTGGGATCTTGGTGCCATCGACGGCATACTCTAGTACCAATGTTAGCAACTGTTGTTTCGTGGAAAGGGAGATTTCCCCCGCATGTAAATGTTAAGTCAGAAGCTCCAATTGATCTAGAGCAATTGAAAGAAAAAGGAGGAACTAACTCTTTGTCTTGCCATTCAGACGAGAAGCAGTCTGACGCTTCTCTACTGGAGGGATTGCAGAAAAGTCGTAGTTTGGAAGGTTGCGAGCGACTGGGTCTCTTCTGCCTACATGCTGCAAGCTTCGTAGGAAAGGAAGGCTCGCAGCCGTAGCAGCATCTATGGCAGAGAGGGCCAAGACGAAATAAGAGAGACCGCGCATCTTCGAAGAGTAAAGGTGGAATCTAACCACACACGACTTGCTCTTGAAGAGAGTGAATCAATCAATCTATATATGTATGATTCCGGCGCGCAGACAAGAGAAGGAGAAAAAAAAGAAAGAAGCAGAGCTGCGGACGATCCCCATGGTAAATATACTGCCTTCGAGAAGAACCAAAAAGAAAAATTTCTCTTTCCCCTCCCTTGACAGCTGCTGGGATAACTCGTGCTCGGGCATATTTTCGTGTTGGATATAATTTCAATTTCCGGGATATACGGCCAGATGTGGAGATGTCAAGGTAGGGATTTCCCCATTCCCCCGCGTAGGATCGCACCTTGGGCTCGTATTGCCATGGCAGAGCTAAGCGATAAGAAGGTAACCCCGTATAGTTTGATTGCGATCTTGAATGGCCAACCGAGCTAAGCTTTCCAAGCCGGATGGCGACTTTCTTCGCCCATTCTTTGATTCTTCTGCGGCGAAAAAGGAAGAAGCATGTGGTAGTACTGTATATTAGTCTGCATAGCTGCCCGCCACAGGAGGCACTCAAAAAGCCACCCCCCAAAAAAAAAGCCCAGAGTAAACAGGCTTGAGGGGACTCAGATGTACCTCAATGCCAATCCCCGGCCCAGTAGCTTTGCTATCACAGGCATCTCGTCTCTCCCCAGGGTGGGCGACCCAATCTCGGTCTAGCGACGGTGCCGGGGTTTACGAGCTAGCGAGCAACCCTGGTTGCCCGCGGGCCTTCCGGAGAACATGTCCTTGGACAGCAAGCTGGGCCGACAGACTGTTTAGCTGCATATCTTAAAGGGTGCTGGGCATGGTGCGCCAACGGACGGTGGCAACCTGCGTCACTGTGCTGTCACTCTGCATGTTGGCTTTGTTTATCACTGGAGCTGGAGCTGCCCTGCATGGTGAGAACATGCAGTCTGTGAGCGAACAACGACGAAGCCGCCATGCTTTCCCCCACAAATCCATCACCAGGCCCGCCATATGAGGACCCAGGGCGCCGTCAATCAGCCTGCAAGGACGGAGCGCGCTCGCTCACGGCTTGAGATTGTCGTTTCTTCGGCTTTTTGAAGTCGAAAAAGTCGAAATTTCCAGCATAGAAAAATATCAACAGTTGAAGATCGACGTTGCATTTCCTCTTTTAGACATTGATTATATAATAGAAGTAAGTTACTCACGTGATACAGTATATCAAAATTGTTGAAGACGAAAAGAAGGAAAAAGAAGATAAACAAGCAGAAGAAGAAGCAGAAGCAGAAGAAGAGGCTAAAGAAGAAGAAAGAAAGACAGGATGGGAGGAAACTATGGACCAGCGATGCCGCCGAAGCGGAAGCTCGACAGCGAGGGTGAAGAAGACGGAGATATCGGGCCAACCAGACCAGATACGCCGCCGAAGAAGCCCAGAGTGATGGGCCCAGTGATGCCGCCGAGCTTTCGGCCAGAGAGTGATAAAGACGAAGAGGAAGACAGTCACGATGACGAGGACGACAGTGATGATGACTATGGGCCCTCGCTGCCTCCCCCCGCCTCCGCCAGCTCCGCCGTGCAGCAGCACGAGACCTCCACAGAGCCGATTCCAAGCAAAGCAGACTCCAAGCCAGAGGTAGTCCAACGAGACGACTGGATGCTGAAGCCGCCCGATCAACTCGGCCTTTCAGCGCGTATGGACCCTACAAAGCTCAAGAACCGAAAATTCAACACCGGAAACCCCGCTCGACCGGCGGCTTCAAAGGCGGGCGGCCCATCAAATACTTGGACCGAGACTGTGGAGGAGAAGAGGAAGCGTCTGCAGAATGAAGTCATGGGCATTCAGGCGCCGGCTGCTGCATCGACTGCATCTGAACCGGATGCTGGGAAGGCATTGGCAGCGGAAAGAGCGGAGAAGATGTCCAAGCATGTCCGCGAATATAACGTGAGTTGTCACCTCTCATATATATATACACTACTACTACCTACTACTTGAGTGAGCTGCTGGCTAAATTGCTTGTGAATCAATAGGAAAAGAATAGGAACAAGTCATTGTATTCTCAGCACAAGGCCGGCACCGAAGAGCAGGAAAAGGACGACCCCAGTGCCCGAGCGTTCGACAAGGAGAAGGATATCAGGGCTCCGTCCAAGATCAGCCATTCCCAGCGTCGGGAGATGCTCAACAAAGCTGCCGACTTCAACTCACGCTTCTCCGGAGGAAGCTTTCTATAGAACTAATGACTACATGAAGATACCATTGTATAACTTTGCGTGTGTGTGTGAGAGAGAGGCGGGGAGAGGGTGTTGTGAGTGAGTGAGTGAGCGGTCTTAACTATCGTCGATCTCCATGGGATCGGAATCGTAGCCTGGCAACTGTTCGCCGTCCACAGACATGTCCGGCAGCGGTGTCCTGTCTTCCTCCGCCTGTCCGTTGTAACTCTCTGCCATCTTCTCTCGGGCTCGCTCTCTTGCGTCCGTCATCACTGCCCGAACACTGTCCTGTTCAGCCGGTATTCCCAGCGCTGCCGGAACGCGGTAGAGCACCAGCTCGTTGTTCCTCTCCTCCTTTGGTTTATGCGTAAGCACTGATTTCGGGATCGACATGAGCTGCTTCTCCATCTCCGGCATGACTTTAAACGTCTGCCTGCTCTCTTCCTCTTCTATCTGGGCGATCTCGTCCTCTAGATCCGTGATGTATACTCGGGTTTTAGTGTCGTCCACCTGCATGCCATCGCCATTGCTGCTGGCCCGCGAGGACGTGTATTTCGACGGCGAGCCTGCATGCTCTCGTCCGTCTGCCTGTCTCTGAGCTTCTAGACCGTATCTTCCTCCTCCTGCTGCTGCTGTTGCTGTCGTCGTCGTGGGCGTAATCAGTGCCTGTTCGGATAATCTGTCTGTAGAAAGATAAAAATCAACCAAGCTGTTAGCCTCCAGAAGCTTCAAAAACTCCCCAGATTTTCTCCCAAGGAAAAAAACACCAGCC